GGGACCAGAGGAGGGAAGGAAGGAAGGAAGGAAGAGGAGAGGAGAAAGGAAGGAAGGAAGGAGAAGACGAAGAAGAGGGGGGTCCGGAGGGGCCAAGGAAACGCAGGGCAGGAAGGAGGAGGAGAGAACCGCACTCGAAGGGCAGCATCCACAGGCCAGAGTGGGGACGGTGCTGACTCCGCTGCTCCTCGGATGGTGACCGGGCCCCGCTGCAGCTGCAGCCCCCTCGAGCCCCGGCTCTACAGGCCCGCAGCGCCGGAGCCCCGCAGGAATCATGCCCAGGTCCTTCCTGGTCAAGAAGGTCAAACTTGACACGTTCTCTTCAGCAGACCTCGACAGCTCCTACGGGCGCGCCCGAAGCGACCTCGGAGTGCGACTGCACGATAAAGGTATGAGCTGGGCTGAGGCTGGGGTGAGGGGCCCAGGGCTTTGCTGGAATGGATGGGTGGCCAGAGTGTGGGTGTGGAAAGGGAGGGTCGGGGAAATAGAGGAAGGAACCAGAGCGGGCAGGAGGCTGAGACTGGAGCTGGGACTGTGGAGGGGGTGGGGAAAGAGGATCGCAGAGGCAGGCCAGATCTCAGCCAAGGCTGGGCAGAGAGTGTGGATGCAAGAGAGAAGATGGGGAAGAGGTGTCAGGAACAAGAAGCATTGAAGGCACACACTGACCCACACACTGACACATGCAGAAACAAACAGCACACAGCACATGGACACCTGCTGACATTACAAGGACCCAGCCATACCAATACATGCAGACTCACACCCAGAAACCTGGACCCGCCTCACTACCCTCTTCTCTTCCTTGGTTGTCCTCCAAGCTCCCTGCTAGTGCTAGCTGGATAATGCTGGGAGCTCCAGGGAGTAGGCATGGGGTCCAGCGGATGGCCCACCTGTCAAGGCCAAGGTACCAGCAGAGGCAGCAGCAGTATCTTCCCTGAAGTCAGGGTCAGGGAGGAAGATATAGGAAAGGGAAGCCCAAGCTGCTGGAGGCAGGGAAGGCTCTTTGTGTAAGTGTGCCCAAGTTCAAGGACAACTGTTAGCATGCAGACAAGGGGACCTGAAGTGCCAGCAGCATGGGGTGGAAGAACAAATGTGACCTGCAGGAGCATGAGCCTGTGTGGGCCCATGTGACTGCGTGTGGCCATGTGACTATGTGCGCTTGTGTATGACCCTGTGTGAGTGTGTGCCTGCCTGTGTGCCACTACATGGGACCATGTGACTCTGAGGCCGCTCTGTGCCATGTGACCCAAGAGTATGTCTGGGGTGGCTGTATAGGTAACCTTACATGAATAGTTGGTGAGAACCAGGGTCAGTGTCCCCCTTTGAGGGGACTGCAGGGCTGATGGTGGTTGGGATGCTGGGTATAATCCTGAAGGAGCCAGAGCCTGCATGATGAGGGGTGTGCGTTTGTGACTTTGAGGTTGTGAGATCCATCTTGTGCCTTGGGAACAACTGCAGTTACCGGCATGAATGATGCCATTCTCCTGCTAGTTCCTGTGAAGGTATCCCCCCCAAGGATGTCCTGGCAGTCTCTTCACCACAGCTAGTTGGAGTGGTGTCAGGAAGGTCCCCTGCAAGGAGTTAGAGTGTAGGGAGAAGAGGGCAATGTAGAACAGGGTAGGACGCAAGGGTGCAGGATGAGGGAAGGAAGTGCAGGTAGAAGAAAGTAGATGCAGGGAGATAGGTTCCAGCTGCAATGGCATGGGTCAAGTCCAGTCAGAGAGTGGGAAATGAGATGGAACTACTTATAAGAGCTAGAGGAACCGGGGGAGGTAGACGTCTCTAGGACTTGTTGGGAGACCTAGGGAGCCAGAGAGAGCCAGCATCAAGGCTGGGAATGGGTTCTGGGGGCTGGAAAAAGGGCCATCAGGGACACCCTAGAGGCGGGACCGCCGGGGTCCCTGAGCTGGCAGTCCCGCTTTGTGCACGGCGGGTCTGCAGTGTGTTGCATAATCAGGAAAGCTGCTGAAGTGGGGAGAACCCGAGGGGGAGGGGAGTGGAGGAAGTAAGGGGAAGCGCCGCCCCTCCCCCCTGACCTTGAGGCTTGGGAGGAAGGGGGGCAGCCGCGCCCGAAGATGCGCCTCTCTCCTCCCCCAGCAAGGGCGGGGCGCTCTGGCGGCGGGGGCGGAGCCCAGCCCCGCCGTGTCTCACCCTCTCTTCTCCTCTCTTCCCCGCCCTGCCGTCTTCATCCTCTCGGCCCTGTGGTCCCCTGGCCCCTTGTCCTTTGTCCTTCTTGCTGTTCGTCTCCCTCTCGGACTCTGGTGTTTCTCCCGCCTGTGTCTGCTGTCTCCCGTAATCCGCCTGGTGTGTCTTCCCCATTGCCCGGTTCCCCTACCTCTGTTTGTCTGTCTGCCTTGGTCTGCAGGATACCTCAGCGACTATGTGGGGCCCACGTCCGTCTACGATGGCGACGCTGAGGCGACGTTGCTCAAAGGGCCGTCCCCGGAGCCCATGTACGCTGCGGCTGTGCGGGGAGAGCTGGGTCCAGCGGCCTCAGGCTCGGCGCCGCCACCCACCCCGCGCCCAGAGTTGGCCACTGCGGCGGGCGGCTATATCAACGGCGACGCCGCGGTCAGCGAGGGTTACGCAGCTGACGCCTTCTTCATTACCGATGGGCGCTCGCGCCGTAAGGCCACCAATGCCAATGCTGCTGCTGCCCCCTCCACCGCCTCAGCGGCTGCCCCCGACAGCGACGCAGGAGGCGGGGGTGGGCCCAGTGCACGAGGCTCCGGCTCAGGGCCCGGGGGCCGGGGCGGCACGCGAGCGGGGGCGAGCTCCGAGGCTCGTGCGGGGCCAGGAGCCACTGGCGCTGGTGGTCGGCATGCGTGCGGCGAGTGCGGCAAAACATACGCCACGTCGTCGAACCTGAGCCGTCACAAGCAGACGCACCGCAGTCTGGACAGCCAGCTGGCGCGGCGTTGCCCAACGTGCGGCAAGGTGTACGTGTCCATGCCGGCCATGGCCATGCACCTGCTCACGCACGACCTGCGCCACAAGTGCGGTGTGTGCGGGAAGGCCTTCTCTCGGCCCTGGCTGCTGCAGGGCCACATGCGCTCTCACACAGGTGAGAAACCCTTTGGCTGTGCGCACTGCGGCAAGGCCTTCGCCGACCGCTCCAACCTGCGCGCACACATGCAGACGCATTCGGCCTTCAAGCACTTCCAGTGCAAGCGCTGCAAGAAAAGCTTCGCGCTCAAGTCCTATCTCAACAAGCACTATGAGTCCGCCTGCTTCAAGGGCGGCGCCAGTGGCGCCGGAGGCCCTTCAGCCCCCGCGCCACCGCAGCTCAGCCCAGTGCAGGCCTAGGGCCGCGGAGCTTCTGTCCGCCAGGTCGGCTCTCAGCAATACGAGCCCCCAGGGAAGTCTCCGCTGGCGTACTTGCTGAGGGGCTGGAGGGCGGGCCCCTCCTCACAGCAATAGGGGGAGGGAGCCGGCCCCACCCCGCCCCGCTCGCCAGGGGCCTTACCAGCCCCTTCAAGCAATAGGGTCCCGAGGGGAGACCCACCCTGAACCCCCTCCCCTCTCCTCCAGGGTGCCCCAGGCTTTCTCCCAGCAATAGGGTCGTTCAGACCCAGAACCGAACCTCATCTCAGTTGGGTCTCTGTAGACCGAGGGTGGGGTGAGGTAGGGAGCGCCCTCCTCCCTCCTCTGCGCCCCTGGATCGAGTTGCAGAGACTCAGGTCTTCCCTATCCCTTCCCAAGCCTTCCAGGCTGGGCCTTTGGCCCAGACGTCCAGGGAGCCAGTCCCTCCGGGCAGCAGGCCGCGGGAAGAGCAGGAGAGGGGGCGGGCCGCAGAAGCATCCAGCCCTACAGGCTTCACCAAACTCCTGGGAGTCCTAGACGCATTGGGGATGGGAGAGGGAGGCTGATGGCGGCACTCCTCTCCCTCGGTTCTGGGGCCTCAGTCCGAGCCGCCCTCCTACCCTCCCCTCGTGTCCTCTGCCAAATCCTAATTCTTCCAGCCCAGTATCCCGGGCTCTGTCCTCCATAACGAATAATAATGACGCATATCAACTCGCATGGACTTATCCGACCTACTCAGATCCCGTTCCCGCCCTGCCCCGGGGCCCCCTCCCTCGTACCCGGGCTTTCGGTGTTGGAGGACAGATTCCCGGTCCGGTCCGGCAGGCAGGCGTGCACTGCCCTCTACACACCTCTGTATTCGCTTTGCGGGTAAAGCCCCCCGGGGAAAGGGGTTGCGGACGCGTCGGGTTTCTTTCTTTCTGTATTTGTACGTTTTATTTATTAACGGATTGCACTCGGGTCAGGGAGGAGGCATCGAACCCCTATCTTTCCCGCCGACTCCCGGGACTTGGGATGTCCAGGATCACTTATTCCGCCTCTGAGCCGGGACCCTAGTTGGGCTCTGCCTCCTGGGAGCCGAGGACCCCGCCTCCCAGAGGCCGACCCCTCCTCCGAGGCCCTGGCCCCATCCCCACTCAGTTGCCAACTTTCGCCCGTCTATGCCAAAGCCTCGGCGGCGACCCTGTTCAAGGGCCCGCCCCATTGGCCGCCGCCTTTGTGACGTCACTGCATGCAGCCCCACCCCTCCTCCCAACCCTTCCCGGGGCTGCCCGCTCTCCCTTCCTCTTAGTTAGTCCGATGCCGACTATAGAGCAATAATGCGCACTGCATGCGAAGCTGCCGCAGCCTCTAGAGTTACTAAGAATCAGGTATTCCCCGCCCTACCCAACCCATAGGCCCCTAGATCAGGGATGCTGCGCGGGGCCGGCCGCGCAGACTTTCTTTTCCCCCTTCCCGCCCCGCCATGGCAGAGCCCGCTGGGCCGGCAACACAGTTCCGGGGGCGGGGTGGTTGCACCAAGGCCTCTCAGTTATCAATCACTCACCGGCCATTTACTGGGCACCTACTATTTGCCAGGCCCGTTGCTGAGTCTGCCAGACACCGCCACCTTAGGGGAGGTGCTTGTCCGCGACAGGAGCCCAACCGACTTGCGTGTGTCAAGGATACACGCAGATGCAAAGGGCAGGGACCCTGGGCCCAGATGGCCTCACTCCTCCTCACCTCTGTTCGGTCCGTGCTGGTTACCATGGGGCTCTGCTTTTGACTTGGGCCTTGAGTTCCCAGCTCAGGCGGGACAGAACCCAGAACCCAGCTTCACTAGGGTCGCCCACAGAAGCGCCCAACCTTTGATTCCCTGGCAAACGCGGCTCTGCCGTGTGCGGCCAAGGTGCAAGCTGGAGTATATGATACGAACAGCCTCATCCCCAGCACCAAGCGTGACTGCCCCACAGGGGCGGACCTGCCGGCCCAGCACAGCTGTGCTCCCATCCAAAACCCCCTACACCACCCGGGGTGGTGCCTGCATAGTTTCCCAGCCCAGGCCTGCCCGCCTGTGCCGCATGCACACGCACACACAGGCGCCCTGCCCCACCCCACTCCTGTCTACCTACCTAAGGAGAATGCCCGAGGGCCTTGAGCCCGCCAAGTTCTCCTGTTTCCCCCACACCCTGCCGCCGTGGAAAGCCATGGGCCCCCTCCTGCCCCCATAACTAAGCAGCACAATAACCGACTTAGCGAATTCAGGTAGAAGGAACGTTTAGGTAGCACCTATTTTGTACTGATTCTACAAGTAGGGCCCGAGGTGCGGGGCCCTCGGGTGGGGGCTGTGGCCGCCGGCCCGCCCCGCCCCCACCCCTGCCTGCGCCCCGCCGCCTTGTACATTTTCCCTGCCCTGAACAGGCTGGGATTTTTACTCGGGCCGCGCCCCTCTTCCGCCCCCGTTTGGGGCCGGGCCGGCCGGACAGACGGACGGACGGACAGACCTCCTTCCTAAGCACAATAGCACCAGCTCCCCGGAGCGCCGCACCTCCACAAGGAGAATAAATGCCACTCTTGATAGAATTTGTAGTGTTGGTTGATGTGATGTGTCCTCTCTGGGGAGCTGCTCGGGGTGTCTGGGAGCATCTTCCCCATGCTGAACACACAGCTCAAGTAGCTGCTGGTCCAGGCCTTTCTTCTAGTGGAGAGGGCCTTCTTGGCTGGCTGAGCCATAGGAACACCTTTCTGAAGGCAGAGCAGTTGGCACTTCCCTGTGGCAGGGGAATCTACACTAGGAACTGAGGGCATAGATGGGCTTTAGCCCAAGGTCAGGCTCAGCCTAGGCTGATCCAAATAGAATATGTACAGCAAGGGGTGCAGTTCTCTGCCTGAGATGTCTCTACTGTCTCTTATTTTCCTTATAGGGGCTTCTGCTGCTCCATAGGCCTGACCTGAAGGCAGCTTTATCAATAACTCCAGGTCCCTCTAAGTTGCTATTGGAAAAAATGGAGATGGCAGAGATTCTGAAGTGTAGCTCTCCTTGTGGCCTGCTGCCCTCATGTTGACTACCAGACTCTGGGGTATGTTCCCATATCACTGGAGAATGCAGAAGGGGTGAAGGTGCTAGCAGGGAGAAGTGCCTCAGGGGCAGGGAGGCTTTCACAGCCACCCACAGACCTTGGGCTCTAGACAGGGAAAGCAGAGTTGAAAGCGGGTACAGGATTGTGGGGGTGGAGAGCAGAAAGGCAAGGACCTAGGCAAGGCCTAGCAATGGCACCAGTAATCAGGTAGACAGTCATGAATTGAGTGGCTCAAAGACTTTGTGCACATGTGATCAAACTAAGTTAGCCCTAGACCAAGGTCAACACAGCTGTCCACATCCTGGCAAGGCCAGGGACTAGACCTGCCCAGTGGAGATACAGCTCTAGCAGGTAATAGCCTATGGCCTGATTCTTAGACGGGGCTATAGTAGGGGTGAGCATCCCCTTCTGGGGAGCTCCACCAGCAATAACAATTGTAGGAAGGCATGCCTGGTACTGGGAGGGGTGAGTGGCCAGGGCCTCCTGCAGAGGGATCCTCACTGTCACTGCCCCTGGGCTGGGTAGGCATAATTGTCCTGTTTGCAGATAAGGAACCTCAGGGAGGTGATAAAGAGCTTCTCTAAGGTTGAAGGATCCAGGGTTGCCTTTGACACAGCCCTGCCCCAGTACTCCACATTCCCCTATACCTGGATCTACACCATGGCAGGGAGAAAGGCTTCTAGCTGTCCACTCCTTCCTGATGGACTGATCCTACAAGTTCAGCGTCTTGATGTGCTGCTTCTGCTTCTTTAGGATTCTGAGGGTGATGGGGGTAGGAGAATGGAAGTGACTTCCCCAAGTCCTGGATGAGCCCATGTCCCCATTCTTCCCAGCTGTCCATAGACACTGCTTTCCATCCCAGGGAATGGGTAGCACAGGCCTTTGAACACCACTGACATGTATTTCCTCTCCATACACCTGGTTGGTTTCCTTGGTCTGCCCATGACCCTAAGGCACTGGGGTCAGCCTGAAACCATTTTTAAACCTCAAAACCCTCCTGGTCCCCATAGAGCTTCGTCCCCCTTATTTGTTGCTACTCCAGGCAAAGGGAGCTGCCCCATGATTTTCTTGCCAACCCTACCACACCACTGCCCCAACGGATCTCACCTACTCTGACCTTTCTCCTCTTCCCTGCTGCCCTAGGCCACACCTTGACCTGGATTTCAGTGTACTGGCACTGTCTGCCAGATAACCTATCTCTTCCTGCCTCAGACTTCCACCCAGCCCTGCCCCCCTACCCAGGTCCTGCCTCCTCCCCACCATTCTCAGCTCTACACATTTGGCAGGCCAAATCTTCCTCCCTGGTGGCTCTGACCCCTCCTCTGGCAGTCTCAGTCCCCAGGCCACTTGCCAGCTAATAGCTTTGAGCCAGGACATGGCAGAAGGCATCCACCTCCAACACCACTCTCCACTCCTCAGTGGCTGATGTACTGGGCCTCTCCTGGCTTACTGGCATGCTCAGCGCTCAACCTTCTCCACCCATCAGCATAGGCACAGGCCGGCACTCTTGTTATTTCTTAATTCCAAATTGGAGGGTGGCAGGGCCAGAGCGCTCTGGAGGCCAGGATGGGAGGATTCATGGGTTCATGGAGGCCTCCTGCTAACTACCTGAAAAGGGAGTGGGTAAGGAGTGGCAGAGCTCCCATGGCTCAGCCCCGCGATCCAGGCTCCCAAGGGGTCACTTTCTTTCAGCCTCCTTTGGGGTCCATACTCACAAAGTCCCAGCCCCGCCTGGCTCAGCAGGCCACAAGGCAGTCGCTGGAAAGGGCTGGTTCTGACCCACCATGTCTGAGAGGCTTTTCGGCCATCAAGGCGGCCCTCTGCAGGCTACACGAAGACGCCTGCTAGGTAAGTCCAGGTCTGCCTGACGCCTGGGCTGATTTCAAGCCAAGAAGGTAAGAAGGTCAGTAAGAACACCCTCAAGGGAGACCGGCCCTCCATCCACCGTCGGAGGAGGGGTGGAGCAGGGGTGAGCTCAGTGGGAAAGGTGTTCCCGTTTGCTCCAGAAAGGCGCTTCTTGGCCCTGCCCTCCCTTAGGAAACGAGCATCTGTGCGTCCCGCTGCTAGAAGCTTTTCTGGGGAAGTCCCGGGGAAGTCCAGGATGGTCACTGAGTGCCGGGTGCAGGACGCGTGTCTGCCCTAGAGAGCGCCCCGAGCAGCCGTGGTGGATGATTAGTTACTTCACTTAAGGGTCGGGCGATGGGACATGCCCGTTGTGACTTGACCTGGGCATCTCCCCCTTGATGCTCAGACCTGGCCCTTGTGGGAAGTCCCCGTAAGTCCACTCTAAGCGGTCCCTCGGTGGCTATTAGAGGGTTCTCGGAGCACGACGGTATTAGCTTCCGTCGGGCGCGCATTCGGACACCGGCTGGGGCAGCCGGAAGGTAGCGCACAAGGCGTCTCCCAAATGACTGCACTCCAAACTGCTCGCCAGGCTACAGGACGGCGAAACCCTTGTTTACAGAAGCGGGCCACGGGCCAAGCGAGAGGCCTGGGGAAGTGCGCGGCTGCCTTGGCTGGGCGCTGGCGCAGCCCTCTGGCCTCCCAGAAGCCGCCAACTAAGGAGAGTGGCACTTCCAATGTTCTCGGTGGGGAACTAGGACTGTGGCTCCCAGAGTGCCCCGCGCCGCACGTCTCGGCGACCGGGGCTCCCAGCGTGCCCCGCGCCGCACGTCCCGGCGGCCGCGGCTCCCAGCGTGCCCCGCGCCGCGCGCCGCCGCCTAGGCCCCGCCCTTGCCGGCTGTGGACTACAAATGGCCGCGCGCGGTGGCCGCCGGCCAGTCAGCGGCTTCGAAGAAGGGCGGCCGCGGGCTACGGCGGCCGGCAGGGGGCGGCAGCGGCCGTTGCCCAGGGTGCGGAGGCGGGGTCGGGGGCCTGGAGGACTGTGAGCCCGGCGGGCCACAACTGGTGCGGGCTGAGGCCATGGGCGACCGAGGCGGCACGGTCAGCTCCCGGCGCCGGAGGACCAGTTCGCGGCCCTCCGGCCAGGGTGGCGGCGGGCCGGTGGGAGCGGAAGAGGAGGTGCGGGACGGGGCTCCGGGCCCCGACGTGGGCGCTGGGGGTGACGCGCCGGCCCCGGCCGCCGCCTCAGACAAGGACGGAGACTCTAACGTGGGCAGCGGACACTGGGAGCTGAGGTAACGGAGCGCTTGACCCCTCTTCTATGACCCCAGGCCCCGGGACTCTCCCTGTCAGAGTGGCCAGAGCAGTGAGTCCGGGGACTTGTCCCTCTTGGGCACCGCGGGTGCACTGAGACTTTCGGGGGAGGGTCACCTGCCAAGGTCACCCAGGTCATGGCCAGGAGCTGGCCTTCCTGGCCAGACAGAGGGGAGCGGAGGAGCAGCCCCTTTTCCAAAACACTTGGGCTTGTGCACAGTCAACTGGGTCCAAAGGCCCTTTATGAAGGGCCAGCTGGCGGCCTGGTCCCCTCCTGGGTTGGTCCCCTCTGGGTTGGTGCATGGGATGGGGGGCCTTGTGGTGAAGGAGTCTCTTTTGAAGGCTGTGAGGGATACGTGCCAGTAGGGAAGGCTCCCCAAAGAGGATTGGTCTGCCAGGGAGGGTCTGGCTGGACTCTGAAGACAAGGGAATGGGTGTTCCCAGGCAGGAGTGAGTGCAGGAGACCTTCTTACTGTTGCAGACCTTCCTGAGAGTGGTGGCCTGGCCCATCATCCCTCACCCAGTGGTTAGGGACCTGTTTACGGTACCAGAATGAGTGCTGCTATGGAGAGTTGGGTCTTGTGTGAGGACTTTCATCCCCTGGTTGTAGTACAGGAGAGGGGTTTTGATGTGGACACAACTACCGGTGGGGCCCTGCTTAGCTGAAAGATGGACAGGAAGGGGTGGAGGACTTGGCCTGCCTGGGCCTGGGTCTTCCCCAAATCTCCCTTTCTTGTCATGATCCTGAGATTCTCAGGGACTCTGGCATAGGGGGCAGCTAAGGGGCTAGGAGGAAGGGCTGATTGGCAAGGATTTGCTTTCTCAGTAAACAAGAATTGAGGCTTTCTTTACCTAGCACTCTAGGGAGAGGGCTGAGGGAGGGCAGCTGGGGTACAGGCCCTGTCACTCTCCTTGGTGGTGCTCACAGTTCACCTGGGAGATAAGATAACCTCAGTGTGAGGCAGACATGGCACACTGTGAACAAAGGTCGGATAAGGAGGCCATGAAGATACCATGGGGGAGGAGGCTGGCCCTCTTAAGAGGGGCACTGGCTTCTTGGGGCCTGGGAATGTACTGAGGGAGGCTGGTCCAGTACCTCCTGCCTGAATAGGAGTTGAGGGTCCTATTCAGGCTCTATTCTCAGTTAAATGCCCCAAGTTGTCCTCCAGAAGGCTGGGTGATGGCTTATATGATTTCCAGAGGGGTTGGGAATTGGGGTTATTTTGTGTGAGATTGATAGGGAGGTCCCTACTGGGCCAAGCTACAACCTAGGGTTAGGCAGGGGAGAGCAGTCACATATCTTCTTTGCACTGGCCAGTGTCCCTGCTGTGTGAAGCTAGTGGGAGAGGAGGAGGGTCTCCCTGGGAAGAGGAATGGTAGATGGCAGCAATGGGGCCATCCAGGGCTGGAAAATGAGCTAGCTGATTATCCATTTGTGGGTCTTCAGGACAAGTAGGCTCTGTATGCTTATCTCTCAACCCTGGAGAGGCAGCAGGGCTTGAGGATTGCTGGTTGGGGTGCTAGACTCCATTCTCCCTGCTGTCAGGCCAGTCCTTGCTCTGGCTATGTTCCCTGAACTTGGCCTGTAGCTCACTCCTTTGTCACCCTTTTCTCACCAGTTTTGTTTCCTATTTTTGGCCTAGCCCAGCCTTCCTCTCCCCCTTCCTTCTGACTCCTTGAGCTCTGGCCTCTTCCCCTCCCCAACACTTCCTGCTCACCTGAGACTGGGCAGGCAAGCTAGGCTCTGGGTGTGAGCTCATTTCTTCTGCCCTGTGGCAAGGTGAGGCTGTGAGGCAGGAAGGGGAGGTACTCCTTGCTCTGCCTCCTGTTTACCCTTCCAGGCTCTGCAGACTCCCACCAGTCCTTGGTTCACAGGCACCCTAGGCATGATCTTGTGGTTTTGAGGTTCTCCTAGGGTGTTTGTCCCTGGGTGTCCTACCTTCCTCTCCAGCAGAGTGGGAGAGGCATGGGGAGCCTGTCCCAACCATCTGGTACTCCAGAGGTTGTTGTAGAGGAAGTGCTGAAGAGGTGGCAGCTGGGAGGGGAGCCGGCAATCTGCTCCCCTCCTTGCTCTGCTTGGCCCTGGAGCTTGACTTTGTGGTCCAAGAGGTCCACACTTGAAAGCTGTCTTTGGGCATGGTATAGACCTTGGCAAGTTCATCATGGGGATGCACAATGCCCATGTGATATTGAGTGTGGGGCAAGAAGGAGAGGGCACCCCTTCCTGCTCTGCCTGCAGTGGGCTTGGGGCTGCAGGAGGGAGAGAGGGCTGTTACAGGTCCTCTTGGTCCCAGGGAGTGGGCGTAGGACAGTTGGAAGGTGCATGGCACGGACAGGCTCTCTAGCAGGTGAGAGGAGGAAAAAAGTATCTTGGTCATGGCTGGATAGCACTCTCCTGCTTTGTAGCCTGCCCTCTAGCCCATTTACTGCTGACTATACTGGCAAGCCTGGGCCTTTGTGGGCATTGGAGTAGGGGGGCTTCTTCTCCTGGGTCAGGGGTCTGCAGCAGGGGATGGGGTCCCACCTGCAGCAGCTGGTGGACCTGAGGTATGGGTGTGTGCCATTGAGGAAGGCCTTGAAGCCCAACAAGAGGGATCTGAAGAAGCCCTTGTGTGGCTTTCTGGCATTAGTCTTGGAATGCAAGACCCTTTCCCTGCTACTGTCTTCATCTTGGTAATGGTCACAGATAAAGCAGCATACTCTTGGTGGCCCAAAGGGGGCAGAGGTCACACTGTTGTGAAACAGCCATGGTGGTGTGAAGACAGCTTGACATTTGGTAGGTCACAGTATAAGGAGGCTGGCCAGGCTTTGGGATAATTCTGGTGAAAGTGAATGGGCTCTAGCTTGCCAGAGAGGGGGGCAGTTGAGAGGTCCTCTCCAGTGGACAGGCCCAGAGAGGCTGTCCTTCTTGCCTCATGGTATTGGGACTCTGGGGAGGGCAGACATTTGAGTGAAGCCAGTTGGGGGGTGCCCAGGGGGAAACAATCAGTTGGAAAAGCAGATACAGACTTTGGGTGAAGAAGGGCTCAGGTAGAGACCACAGCTTCACTGTGTGGCTTAAGGTGGACCTAGTGGGTAGATACAGGAAGCCCAGGACTGAGTTTGGGAGAGAGTGTTGGATAATGGCAGGGGCTGAAGTTGGAGTGGAGCTACCTTGTATTCCTGCCTGAGACAGGCAGTAGGAGAGGTGTTACCACCCTCCCCGTGTCCAGAGGCTGCCAGGGGCTAGTGTGGATGGTACCAGGTGCTGAGCAGACACCTGGGGGTGCAAAGGTTGATCCTGTTGGCACTGCCCCTTAGCCTCCTTGCTCCCTCTCCTTCTAGGTGGGGCTGTCTGTCTGATCACTGCCTTTGATCAGAACCAGATTTGCTTCTGGGGACTGAAGCAAGCCAACTCTGAGAGGGCATCCGTGTCATAGTGCTGGTCACGGGCTCATCTACTTTCTCCCCCTGCTTACATGCCCTAAGAGGGAGATTGTATTGGGGGAGGGAAGGGGAGGCTCTGGCTTCTGCTCTTACAAAACTAAAGCCTTACTCAATGCCACATGGGGCTTCCTGGAGGCATAGCAGCTGGAGGGCAAGGCAGGGTCATAGTTGGTAGGAGTAAGCCAGGGTACTGGTTCCTGGGGTGTGGGCTCTGGCCTTGCTCGTGTTTGTTGTTGCCAGGAGCTGGGTCTGGACCTTATCTCAGCCATATCACCTGGCCCCTTTGCCAGGGCTAGGTACTCCTCTTCACAAGCAGGGTCTTTTGGGAGTGTCTCCTACCCTAGCACTTGGTGGACATGTTCCTGGTTTGAGACCTGCTTCTGCCAGAAGCTTCTCTGCTATCAGGTCCTGGCCCCCTAGTGATCTCCTCTTGCCATTCCCAGCCTAGGCAGGAACATTGCATTTACCATAAGCACATGAGGTCTGACTCACTGCCCCCAGAAAGGTGCACGTTAGGCTGGGAGGCTGGGCTAGCCATAGGACTGGGTCACTGCCCACTCAGGCTTGGGAGTCTAAATGTGGGGAGGAGGCTCATCTGGGTTCTGGTGTCTGCAGACCCCTTAGTTTATTGGGTGGGTTGAGTGGGTGGACTGAGCAGGGTGGACTCTACACATCTTTTTTTCCCAGCAGTGCTGGGTGGGTCCACAGATCCCCAAGTTGTATTCTTCTGGTGGCCTGAGAGCCTGATTTCAGTCAGGGCCCTCTGGGGAGCAAAGCCAGGCTCCTGACCCAGGGTGTTCAAGCCCCATATAAACTTGGTCAGCTCCTTCCTGTCTTTTATGGACCTTCTCTGCCTAGAGGAAAAAGCCTCTGCATGGTCCTGAGAGTTTTGCTACTATAGGCCATATGGCTGCTGGTATAACCTTTTCTGGGTCCTCTCCCTGAAGAATGCGGTATGTGGGCAGAAGAGACAGTTGGCGGGGGATGGGTCACAACAGTGAGGCCATCTCTGCCCTCTGGCATCTGCTCACCAAGGGGCCTATTCCCTACCTTGTCAGGTGCCATCGCCTGCAGGATTCTTTGTTCAGCTCTGACAGTGGCTTCAGCAACTACAGAGGCATCCTGAATTGGTGTGTGGTAATGCTGGTGAGTAGGATGGGGTGTGGAAGCAGGCCCACCTGTGGCCAGGTGTGGCAGAGCTTTCCAGGTGGGCCTTTTTCTGAGCACAGGCTGTGCCTCAGGCATGTGGGAGCTAGTGCTAATGTGGGCTGGGGTGCCTGGGGCATGTTGCAGCTGCCCTGGATAGTGGGGGAAGCAAGGGTGTTCCCTGCAGTGGCCACACAGAGGTCCTGTTGGGTCCTAGGTTAGCCTGTGGAGGCCATGTGATTAGTGGGGAGGCTGAGCAGTGCACTCTGGGCAGAAGGACTCTTTACTGAGAAAAGTGCCTCAGGAGTACAATCCCCCTGGCTGTACTGGGGTGACATGGGAGGGCAGAGAGAAGGGGAGTGTTGAGTGGCGCCAGGGCTGAGAGGCTTTTGGGAACTGAGCGTGGGGTGCTCTATGGGTACAAAGCTTTCCTGGAAAGGTGGAGGTCTTGCCAGTCCTATGCCAGTGGTGTCAAGGGCATGGTGTCTTCTCCTGGACCCTCTTCCTTAGCCTTGGGTCCTGGTGAATGAGAGTCCTTTGCCGTATCCAAGGTCGGCTGTCTGTAGGACTTCATTCCATTACTTTGTGGGGTCAGACCAACAGCCCCACCCCAGAGGCTCAAAAGGGCAGGCAGCCTATAGGGCAGGGCAGGGGCAAGCTTCCATAACTCAGGGCTGATGTGGCCTGAGGCCTTCAGATTTGAACACCTCTAGTTTGGGTACAGCTCTTATGGTTGCCCATGTGGAAGGGCTTTGTGTATACTATACCCTGTGGTGTCCTGAGCTTCCAGCACCGTTTGCCTGGAGAGGGCCTTGGTCTCAGTCAGCTATAGGAGGCCACAAACTCTAGGGTGGGTGAGTAGCTGGTACCACACTGGGGATGTGGGTCCAAGGCCAACCTGATCCTCATGAGATGAAATGTCCCACTTCTGTCCCAGGCTGGGTCTATAAGAGTTATCTCAGCCAGCCTGGGTAGTACTGTCCGTTCTCTTGCAACCCACTCGGCCTGCCTGGCTCTTGGGCACAATCCTACAGTCTTTCCCCTGCTCTGGGCCATCCACCACCTCCTTCCTAAAGAAGGTCATGCATCTTGGGCTCCAGCTGACTGCTGTGGCCTCTCAGGAGAAGTCACGCAATGCAGTCGATGATGTGGGGTCACGTGTGTTGGGGCAGCAGGCTGGCTGCAGTTGGGGGAGGTGGCTCCTGTGTCCCTGAGCTTGTCATCTCTGTAAAGCCTTCCCTGACCACCCAGGCAAGGACCCCACCAGTGTTCCCTTGCCAATGTTGCTGTTCCATTTACACTGTGCAGGGCCTGTTCTCTGGGCAGATGGCCAGGTTGATGGCATCAGGGCCCACCTCCTGGGGTGCAGGTGGTTCTTGTAAGACAGATGAGCAGGGAGGACAAGCACCTAGTCCCAAGCCAGAGCTGGGGGCTTGTTTCAGTGGGGGCTCAGCCCTTGGAGACACCACTAGGGCTGAAGTATTTCGGGAAGAGCTGAGGCAGGGGAAGGGCTAAGTACCTCTACTCTGCTCCTCAATGCCTGCACTTGCCCCACAGCCATTTGCCCTGCAGGAACCAGCCTGGCTTGTGGGGTGTTGGGCAAGGATGGGCAGCTTTTCCTCTTCAGCCTGGGCTGCTAGTAGGTAGTGGTCCTTGGAGATTAGTTTTGGGCAGGTTCCCTGGGCAAGCAAGTGTGGGCTTTGAGACCATCATAATAGTGACAGGCTGTGGGGTAAGCTGAGGCTTCCTCACCAGCTCAGCTAAGCTAAGCTGGCAGTATGAGGGCTACTGAACACTGGGTCTGAGTCCATCACTTCAGGTGCTAACCAAGATGTGGGCATCTTCTAGATAGTGTTAGTGGGGTGCTACTTCTCTTTGCCCCCACACTGATATGTGGTAAGGTAGATGGTGAGTTTCAGAGCTTGGCATGGAGAACAGATGGAGCTGGGTCTATAAGAATGAGGCTGTTGCCTGCCTAGGGCCTCTGGCTCCAGAGGTGCTGTGGGGAGTTGGAAGGTGCTGGCTGGGTGGGATGCCCTGGTGCCAGTACCATCATGCTGATCTATTGATTATCTGCAGATCCTGAGCAATGCACGATTATTTTTAGAGAACCTCATCAAGTGAGTATTTTTTCTCTAGGCCCCATATAACCTGCCACCAGGCCAAGGCCCCACTCCCATTCAGACCTCCTTGCCCTACCCCCAGGTATGGCATCTTGGTGGACCCTATCCAGGTGGTGTCTCTGTTCTTGAAGGACCCCTACAGCTGGCCTGCCCCATGTCTGGTTATTGGTGAGCTGGGTTCTGAGGAGGGCCATGGGTAGGGACCAGGCTGACCTGTCCTGAACCTTCTCTGTGGTATTTCTGTCCTCAGTGGCCAATGTCTTTGCTGTGGCTGCATTCCAGGTTGAGAAGCGCCTGGCTGTGGTAAGCAGTCCCTTGTGACCTGCCCTCAGGTCAGCTCTCATCGACTGCACTTACAGGGTTAGGGCCCTGAATGACTGTTCTGCTCTTCACAGGGCACCCTGACGGAACAAGCAGGGTTGCTGCTGCATGTTGCCAACCTGGCCACCATCCTTTGCTTCCCAGCAGCAGTGGCCTTACTGGTTGAGTCCATCACTCCAGGTGTGCCCCCACCCATCCGTCCCAGCCCACACTGGGCTCAGCCTGTATGGCATGGATCCCCCATGGTGCATGGGGGCCATGGCTGAGCCTGCTTCTCCCACAGTGGGCTCTGTGCTGGCTCTGGCAGCATACACCATCCTCTTCCTCAAGCTCTTCTCCTATCGGGACGTCAACCTGTGGTGCCGCCAGCGTAGAGCCAGGGCTAAGACTGGTGAGGCTGGTGAATGAGAACTTGTCTGGGGGTGGGCCTGGGTGGCATAGGTCCACCCTGGTGTCCCATCTGTTTTGCTTGCAGTCTCTGCAGGGAAGAAGGCCAGTGGGGCCTCTGCCCAGCGCACGGTGAGCTACCCGGACAACCTGACCTACCGCGGTGAGGACCTGTGGGGCCAGGTCCCAGGGGTGGGGGTCAGGGGCAGGGTCAAGTCTGTACTGGTTCCAGCTCCTCTCTTCCCTTCCAGATCTCTACTATTTTATTTTTGCTCCTACCCTGTGTTATGAACTCAACTTCCCTCGCTCCCCCCGAATTCGAAAACGCTTTCTGTTGCGGAGGCTCCTTGAGATGGTGAGGTTTAGGGCTGAGGGAGCGGCTGGAGGTGGGAGGGATTTGTGGCTGGTGGTGCTAGGTTCTCAGCTGGCTGCTCTTTGGCTCTTCCCCCTAGCTGTTCTTTACCCAGCTCCAGGTGGGGCTGATCCAGCAGGTAAGTGGGTGAGAAGGTGGGTGGCAGGGGCCAGATGCAGCCGGGTACTGATCTGGTGCCCTCCTTTGCAGTGGATGGTCCCCACCATCCAGAATTCCATGAAGCCCTTCAAGGTGAGCAGCTGGAATCTCCTGTGGCTGGGGTCGGTTGGGTGGGGGCCACAGCCACTGAGGCAGCCTGTTTCTTCAGGATATGGACTACTCTCGAATCATTGAGCGCCTCCTGAAGCTCGCTGTGAGTATTGGCAGTGGGCAGGGTGGGGGAGCACAAGTGGCAGGTGGGCATCTAGAACCTGGAGCCCCCTCCCTTACAGGTCCCAAATCACCTCATCTGGCTCATCTTCTTCTACTGGCTCTTCCACTCCTGCCTGAATGCTGTGGCAGAACTCATGCAGTTTGGAGACCGGGAGTTCTACCGGGATTGGTGGTGGGTGGCCTTGAGGGTGGACCTGGGGACTGGGGTGGGCTGCAACATGCCTTGCTCACCCCATTGTCTCTCAACCCTAGGAACTCCGAGTCTGTCACCTACTTCTGGCAGAACTGGAACATCCCCGTGCACAAGTGGTGCAGCAGGTAGGTGGGTGCTGTGTGTGCATGTGTAGGATGTGGGTGTGCACCTGGGCCTCTCCCTGTACTAGGGCATCATCCTGTAGCCTCCTTCCCTTGCAGGCACTTCTACAAGCCCATGCTACGCCGGGGTAGCAGTAGGTGGGTGGCCAGGACAGGGGTGTTCCTGGCCTCAGCCTTCTTCCATGAGGTCAGTGCTGCGAGGGCATCCTGCCTCACCTCTGGGCAGGGGTGTAGCCACTGAGACATTGATGCCCTGTTCTCCCCTTACCCTAGTACCTCGTAAGCATCCCGCTGCGAATGTTCCGCCTCTGGGCGTTTACAGCCATGATGGCTCAGGTGAGCAACACTCCAAATGCCTCACCCACCTGAACCCTGTGCCAAGCCCCATTCCCTGTGTTTACTGCCTGCTGACCATGGTCCTGTGTGTCCTCAGATCCCATTGGCCTTGATTGTGGGCCGCTTCTTCCAAGGCAACTATGGAAACGCAGCTGTGTGGCTGACACTCATCATTGGGCAACCAGTGGCGGTGCTCATGTATGTCCATGACTACTACGTGCTCAACTATGAGGCTCCCACAGCAGGGGCCCGAACTGCCCAGGCTTGACGGCCCACAGCCAGGACAGCCAGCCCTCCTGCCTGTCCAAGCCCGGAGGGAACCTGGCTGCTGAGCCTTCCTCCTGCCCCAGGAGGCCTCTCTGCCCCTATGGGGCTCCCTCCTGCTCCCCTTAGGGATGGCAACAATTAGAGTCTAGCCCAGCTGGCAGGAGCCAGTGCCTTCTTTGGGAGTCTGTGCCGACTTGGGGAGGAGGGTGCCAATAAAGTGCTGTCTAGAGTGACTCCCCTCAGCCTCCTGGGGGCTAGTGGGAGGGATGGTCCAGCACCAATTCTGTGGGAGCAGGTACTCCAGGGGTTCAAGGCCCTTTTCTGGTCCTCAGGCAACCAGATGAGGCTCTGGTGCTCTGTGGGGAGTGTCTGGGTCCTGATGTCCCACTCCATTCCAGCTGGCAGTCTCCTCGTGTGCCTACAACCTCCTGGGGTGTTTGGGCAAGGCCACTTAGCTATATCAGGATAGGAGACAGCAACCCAGTTTCAGCTTAAGGTAGTGAGGTTCAGGGGTAACCGGGCAGATCCACTGCTTAGGAAAACACAGCTGAGGTCACACTTCCTGACCCAGCCCTACCAAGCTGATCTTATGTGGGGCTAGGGCTCAGTGCTCCATAGGCCCCAGTGGACAACTAGCTTGCTTGGTTAGTCAGAGCTCATCATGCCCAGCCACAGCCTGGGAAGAAAGTGCTCAAAACTTTCTGGGAATGGGGCTTAGTTTGGCACAGGTCAGAGACCAGGGAGTAAATGGTCTGCAAGTCCCTTCTGACTTGGGTCTGGTGCCAGGTCTGCCATCTTGTTATTGCCTTCAGTAGGAATTTGAGTTAAGATACCCAGAAATGGGGTCTCCTCTGCCCCCTGAAATCATACTTTCCATGGGAGGGCCGGGCCTAGGGCCAGGTGAAGACTGGCAGCCTCTGAGCATCCCCACTCTTCCCACCTCACTAGAACAGGACAGCTCAGCAAGGTGGAGTCTGGGATGCACTGTAGATGGACCTAGCCTGTCTTCCTCCTGTCCCCATAACCCACTTCATGACACTCTGGGCATCAGGAACTGGACTTGTGACCCTCAGAGGGATGCCTTGTCCCTAGACCCTGTTACATAGTGAAGTGGTGCAGAGGCCACTTGAGTGACACATAAAGGTGGGGGTAATCCCAGAGCCTGTCTTTTATCATGGAAGGGAGGCCTTATGTCAGTTAAAAACTGAGGCTATAGGCCACAGCCCTCAGACCTTCAAGTCACGGTGCCCAACAAGGTGGTTGCTTGGAAGTACCTGTGTGCCGAGAAGGGCAGGGGCAGTCCAGGCCTGTGCTGTCCCTCCTGCATTAGCAAACTGCTGGTTACGTGGGGGCTGCTCTGTCCTGGCTGGTTCTTCTCCCAGTGGAAGCCTACAGACGGCATCTCTGTGGCCTCCCCAGGACAGTGACTAGTGGGTGAAAACCTGGGGGAGGTCGTTGGAGCTCTCTGGACTCTCTCACTGTATGGGCTCCTGCACTCCCCCCAGCCCTCCAGTCAGCAGGTCCTGACCTAGGAGATTGGGGATGCCCCCGGCCACTTGTGAGCTTGCCTTCCCTCTTCTGCCCGCACCCATGGAAACTACTGAAACAGCAGGAGCATGCCATCCCTGCCCTCAAAATCAGTCCAGTGCCTTGTGGATAGAAGGGGTCAGCCTGACGCTGACAGGAGACATGTGGAGCATGCTTACCTGTGCCCTGTCTCTGAAGGGACACCTTAGGAAGGGTTGTCTTGCTGACAATCAGGGCCAGACAGGCCCAGAGTACTGCCACCACCATTCAGATCTGCTCTGGGCCTTTCCCCCATATCCCCACCTCCCTAAAACCCCCAGGGCAGGAGGAAACACATAGGAAGCCATAGCATAGAGCTTGTCGGTTTATAGATCTCTGCCCGTCTTGTCTGTCCGTCTGTGTGTATATATTTCTCTGTGAAGGGGAAAGGGGGACCCTCATGTAAAAATCCAAAATACAATTCTATGAACAACCTGCAGAATCAGTCCAAGTGCGACTGTGAAGCCCCAAACAAGCCATGGGGATGCAGGGCAGGGCGAAGGCAGCAGGTGTGCAGGCCCAAGGGCCCTCACTCTGGACTGGAGGCACTGTCCAGCCCTGAGCCCCTCTTCCCCCACTGGGGCCGTGGAGGCTGTGTGCCTGTCCTGCCTCCCCCAAACCTGTCCTAAGGGTGGAAGCAGGCCACAGGCCCTCCCAGTCCCTCTTGGCATCTCTAGGAGACAGTAGGGTCCTTGGCTTTGGGGGGCTCAGAGCCCGTCAGCAGGGAAATGGTGGGATCATCTGTGTAGTCGTCTCCCTCGGAGAAGTAGGAGCCCTCCCCCAGCTCAAAGAGCACAGGTAGTTCACTGCTCCCCGTGTCCACGGCGTCCGGGTCCAGCAGGAACAGAGGCTGTGCTGTGTACTGCACCAGCTGCTTCCCTGTGGGTGGGTGTGGGTCAGGGCCATATGGGTGGTGGGAGGATGGGGGGCAGGCACAGGGCTTGGCTCACCTGAGTCAGGGCCATTGTTTTCTGCCTCAAGAGGCCTGGGGGGCTCCTGGGGAGACAGGAGCTCCTGTATCTGTGGGGTGGAAGGGACATGGGTGAGGACTGCTGCTGGTGCCCCCGCCCCCCACCCTGCCCGCCTACGCACGCTGGCCAGGCTGCTGTCAAGGTCAGGCAGGCTCATGTCGGGCATGGTCACGGAGGGGCTGAACAGCTGCAGGAGGGAGGGAGGGAAGTCAGGGCTGGCTTACAGAGAATGGGGTGGAGCAGGGAGAAGATAGGGCAGACTCACGTCCAGCAGGGCGCTGGTATCCACACTGAAGCCATGGCTGGTCAGCATGGTCTGCAGGTTATCCAGGTTGGAATCCATGGCATCCAAATGGTCACTGAGCTCATTCCTGGCCCGGGGTGAGTGGGCAGGTGAACCAGAGCCCCAGACACACTCCTGTAGAGAAGGGCTCTCCCTTGGCTACACCCATTCCCTAGATGGGGCCCCTCAGCACCCCCAGCATGGGCTGGGGGGACAGTGTGTGTATGTGTATATATACACACACAACTGGAAGGTGCTGGAAGGGAGGTGGTGAGCTCTGTGCCCTCCATGACTACTGAGGGTAGGGTGCAGCTTGGTCCACAGGATACTGGTAGAAGGCTGGAAGGCCTTGGGGGTGATGAAGGCTGGGGCAAGAAAGCACCAGGGGACGAGGGGTTCAGCTCTAGTGCAGTTTTTCAGGCTTAACAAGGTCTTGCCATAGCACTTGAAATCGAGTAAAGAAGGTAGACGGCTATCCTTAGCATGGTTAGGTCTGCACCTCCCCTGGTGTATCTGGTGGCCATGGGAAGGACAGCCAGGACGGCTCTACAGGTGCCATGGGGCCCACTCCACCCCGAAAGTAAGCGCAGCACAGCAGCCTGGATCCTGCCTGCACTGGTGGCTGGGCCTGGTAGGGTTTTGTCCCACTCACAGCCATTGGCCCATGCCTGGGAAGTCAGTGAGGATGCAGAGCCTGGGAAGCCCTCCCCTGGCACCCTTGACAAACACGGTGAGTGCTGTGCACAGGGCAGGGTCTGGTTCATGGCTGCAGGAGGGGCCCGAGCTCCGACAGAGCCCTCCTCCCTCCCCAATGGGGGCCGCGCTAACCCTGGCTGGACTCGGCCATGCAGAAAGGAAGAGGAGGGGCAGGGGAAGAGGCGGGCGACCCCAGACATCTGTGGAGCGCGAGCCAAACTGCAAGATACAAAGACAAGAGCCCCCGCCCATTGCAGGTGGGGGCCAGAGGGTGGGCTTTGAGCCCACCATCCTCACTCACTCAGCCTCTGGGCAGGGCCAAAGGGGTCAAAGCCAGGCCCGGCTCACCATCTCTTGCTGCTGGTCTGGGCAGCATGACAGGCAAGGGTCCTGTGGTTTGCAGGAGAGGGTGATGGCAGCCAAAAGGGTGGCCAGCGGGCAGGGGCCCCAGATTGTAGAGTGATCTGGCCAAATTCAACTCCCTCCCTGGCCCTAATCCTGTTCGCTTACTATCTGCAAATCCCATACCCCCCTGCAGGGCCTGGGGGTTCAGTATCCCCACCCCTCAGGACAGTCCCAGCACAGGCTCAGGCTGTGTGCTCAGGGGCAGCACTCACTTGTCCAGACAGGCTACGCTGAGGCACTTCTCGGGGGTTGAGCGGGGTGGGGACGAGGGGACACGGCCTCCGGCATCAGTGGGGGCTGTGGCTGAGGTGGGGGCAGGCTCGCTCTCCCGCAGGATGGAGTCGATGAGGGCAGTCGGGGACAAGGGGGTGTCCACAGAGGACGGGTGCCTGGGACTCGCCTCCTCCACCCGGGGGGTCCGAGGTGGACTGGGGGGCTCTTCCTTGACACGCACCAGGGGACTGCTGGACAGGGGCCTGGACATGTTGGGGGACACGTTAGCAGGAACCTCAGCGGGCACCACTCCCTCCCAACTCTACCCCGGGCTCATATGGGCTGGCCCAGTGAGGTGACAGGAGGGCTGGGGGGGGACACAGCCCCACCTCTCATCTATGCTCCTGCCTGGGGAGGCCAGAGGGCTGGTGGGAGCCAGCTCAGTGATGTCGGAGATTATGGGTCCAGAGCTGGTAACAACGTCTGGGGTATAGAGGCTGGAGCTGCTGTAGGCTGGGGATGGAGCCTGCAAACAGAGGTAGGGTTTGGGTCACGGGTAGGGTCTGCCTGTGGCCACCCTGGAGCAGGCAGCAAGCACCCTGCACGACCTGTGGGGGCTGTCCTGCCCAACCTAGTGCTTACCGAGTATGGGCCTGGACCGTGCACATGCTCCAGGGAGTACTGCCGGCCATACTTGGGCACCGAGTGTGCAGAGCTGCTGTCGCTCAACATCAGCGGGCTGTGGGGAAGGGGTGGGGGTTAGCTGCTCGCTAGGATTCAGCAGATGGAGCACAGGGAGGGCCCAGGGCCTGAGCAGAGGTGGCACCCCCAGTGCCTCACATTTTTCTCTTCACCCCCAGGATCCGGTTGGATTGCACCAGCGAGATCAGGAACTGAATGAGCTGTAGGGCAGAGAGGATACAGTCACTACAGCCCTGCTGTGGAGGGACCCACCACCGCCAGCCCTGCCCCACCTTGTTGACGACTTTCTGCTGCTGGGCATGCTTCTGCCGCAGGCTGGCCACCTCTCGCCACAGGGCTTCGTTCTCGCTGCAACACAGGCTGGGTCAGGCAGGCCCCCAGCAGTCTCAGCAGGGGTATTCTGTAGCCTCCCCTGCCCTAGGCATGTCCAAGGGGGTGTGGGACAAGGGCCGGGCCAGGCGAGGGCTTGCTGGCAACATTGCCCCCCTTCAGCCTCTGGTGTGCTTCCCAGAGGACAAAGGTGGGGCTTGCAGGACACCCACTGATGATGTGGTGGGGTCGAGGTGGCGACTGGGAGGTTCTTTGAGCTTGAATCCAACCCCAGTCATCTGCTCCCACCAAGGAATCAGGTTTCAGAAATACAGATTCCTCAGTTTGCTGAGTGACTCCTGGGGGTGCCCTACACCTTGTAGGGGCTGAGGGCCCTGCACCAAGTGTGGAAGTGGCCTGGTGGGGATAGGGATGAGCTGCCAAAACATGGTTCCCCCACCCAGGTAGGTAAGCAAAATCTGGTGCATTCCTGATGCTCTGGTGGGCTAGCCCTGCAAAGCCCATATCTCCTTGACAAAGATATGGCCCCTTGGCCATTCTGTGAGAAAAGCCACATCCACTGGTCACAAAGTCAGTGGCTTCTGCTAGGCCTAATGTGGGGAGTGTGAACCCAGGGCCTCTTGTGCCATATGGGTAGAATTCCTGAGTCTCCAGGGACCCAAAGTGGAAAAGAGACCCGTGCCTCAGTTTCTCAAGTGCTAGGCTGCTTGCACAGCCTCTAGAGCCCTGGGTCCTGGTGGAGGAGGGCCCCAGGTGGTCAGGTGTGTGCCGAACATACATAGGCAAAAATTCAAGAAAGATCCTATGCTGCTTCCTGCCCCAGGCCTGAGATGGTGGCAGTGGTGGGGATGTTGACATTGTGTTGAGTGACACTGTGGGCAACCAAGGGAGGGAGAGAAGCTGACCTAGCCTTGGGACTGTCCTGGTCAGTTTCCTCCTGCCCTGGCCCTCAGGGAGGGACCTGGAGGGCAGAGTCTGTGCACCCAGATCCTGTGGAGTGGAAGCTCATCTAGCCTGTGGCTCCAGGAACCAGGCAGAGGCCTATCTTTCTGGGGTGAAGGAAGTGACCCAGCAGGATGCCTCCCCCAGAGTATGGATACAGAAGGCCCCAGAGCTTCTGCCACAGAAGTCACAGCTGGACGGTGGCTCTGCAGGAGGTCCTCCTTGTCCCATTCCCTAGCCCACAGCACACATCCACGCTCCAGAGTCACCCCCTGGACATGTAGGACCTACTGCTTCATGGCTAGTAGCTTGGAGTCCATGCACTCTTGCTTCCCCTTCATCAGCTGCACATCTGTCAGTAGCTTAGTGACGCTATCCTGGCGGATCTTTATGTCTTCACTCTTTAGTGTGGATACCTGGGGGTGGACAAGAGGCTCTGGAGGTCCTGGAGTGGGGCTGGCTCTCATGCTGCAGCTGGACCCCAAGGAGAGTGGGGAGGCCTGAGGCACAGTAGGAAGGGCCAACGGGGATGGTTAGGGGTGGGTCAGAGAGGGACAAGTAAGGAAGGACATCAAGGAGGGTTGTGTTTAGGGCCAGCCACTCACGCTGGTCACTTTCCTCTTGATGTTCTCCAGGAGTTGCTCCTGGCCACGCAGGAAGCATGGGTGCTGGAACTCAGTGTCATCCCTCTCAGGTTTAACCAGGCCTCCCTGCTCGATGTGGACCACCTTCCGGAAGCCGTCTGCACACACAGGGGTGGGAGAGCTCTTCCTGAGGGCCAAGTGAGGGAAGGCCCCTGGAGAAGGGCCATGCAGGGCTGTGGCCAGAGCCCATGCCCATGGCAGCTGGGTGCTCTGGTTATGAGGGAGACCCCATTCCCAACAGTTCCCCATCTGTGAGGGAGTATGGCTAGGGCCTCACAACTCTTTCCTCCCTGGAAACCCCAGGTTCACACTCTCGAGGATCTTCCAACAAAGAGGTACTTTGCCCCAGTCCTCATGTGTAGTGGATTCCAGACCCTGCCCCTGGCCAATCCAGAGCACTGTCTGGGGTTGAACATGCTGGGGTCTGCCTCCCACAGACTCCTGGAAGGGGGCACCCGCCCAGCCAGAGTGGGCACTCACACATGTTGAGCTGCCGCACGAAGCTGGCCATGTTGTTGTGCTTGAAGTACTTGGGTAGCACCTCCTTGGCGAACTGGCCTTGGTCAAACACATGGAAGCTGTTCCCACTCTGTCAGGAGACACAGCAGGCCACATGTAGCAGTGACAGGGATAGTGGTCTGACTCCCTCCCTGTATAGTGGGCAGTGCACATTCCCACCGTACGGGGCTGCTGGAAGGTAGAGTCTACCCCAGTATGCCCTGGCCTGCATTCAGAGATGGGGTTCCCTAGACCAGTGGTTCCTGGACGCCAAGTTCACATTCATGCAACACAATATACTCTGGTCCACTCTCTGCAAATGGTATGTAGCTATAATCAGCAAAAAATTCCTTAAGAAGAGCTAAGAGCAGGGGCTGGGGATATAGCTTAGTTGGTAGAGTGCTTGCCTCACTTGCACAAGGCCCTGGGTTTAATCCCCAGCACCACAAACACACACACACACAAAACAAGAAATAAAACAAAACAGCAACAACAACAAAAACCGAACAGCTAAGAGCCCAACTGAGGCCGTCAAGGACATGAGAACCAACCAAACCTCCATTACTTTGGAGGAAGGTGCAGCTGTGCTCAGAACACAGTCTCATCCTTCTGGCAGGTGAGACAAGGACTAGATTGTCAAACACTGCGTGCACTGACCTTCCTCTCCCAGCGCTTCCCTGAACTCAGCCCAGAACCCATCAGGAAGGACTGATGGGGTAGCCATGGTGGCTCAGAGGGGGCATCAAATATGGTGAGGGTCACACAATGCGAAGGGGGTGTCGTTTTGTTGGTAGTACCTGACCCCCTGAATCAATCCCTTCAGGACGGTAGGAATAGGCTTCTCCCAGTCAGGGTCAGGAAAAAACCAAAAAGAGCCCCTTGGTGCTGGGTTGGCACTGGCACTACTTTCTTTCTTTTAAATGTTTTTTTAGATGTTGAGGGACCTTTATTTTACTCATTTATTTATATGCGGTGCTGAGAATTGAACCCAGTGCCTCACGTGTGCTAGGTAAGTGCTCTACCACTGAGCCATAACTGCAGCCCCCTGGAGCTGCTTTCTAACATACAGAGGCATGAAAATAAGCATCAGCATCAACAGTAGCATGAGGGGAAGGGGTGGAGAAAGGGACACCAAAGCAGCAGAGCAAAAACTGGTAAGAAACGTGAAGCCAACTTCTGCAGGACTCTGAAAGGTAACCAAAGAATGGTTCATGCTGGAAGCAGTTTCTTCAGGAGGAACAACTGTGTTTGGCAAGAGCACTGAGCTCCATGGCTCCTAGCCTGCCCCGTTCTACTCGCTCTCCTGCAGCCTTGAGACCAAGGGCTGCACCCACAGTGGGGAAGCAGGGGTGTGGGCGGGCCTGCAGCTGCTTTAAGGCCTATGAGGGCAGCTCCCTGGAAGACTCCTCGTGCAGGGAGGGCTCTGACCAGTAAAGAAGCCGTTTCCCCTGGGAGTGTTTGTTGGAACACCCAGGGGTGACTTTTAAAGGATGTGGCTGCTCAAAGCACATATAATACTAGCTAACCAGACAACAGAAAGGAACTCTGAGCTGGGAATGGTGGCACACACTGTAATCCCAGGAGGAGCACAAGTTCAAAGCCAGTTTCAGCAACTTAGGGAGACCCTGCCTCAAAATAAAAAGGGCTGAGCATGTGGCTCAATGGTTAAGCACTTCCGGGGAACCAAATGTACAAACAAATCCCCGACCCCAACAGCAGCAACAGCGACAGCAACAAAAGGAACAGCGGGTAAAGGAGGGATCATGAGGGACCCTGAGAAGGCCTGTGTGTCCCTAGGAACCTGGAAGCCATGTATATGTATAGAGCTAGAGCTATGCAGACACTCCATGGACCCCAGAGGCCCTAAGTGGTCACCTCTGGCGGGCCTTGAGGTGGGGCCTTAGCAGGAAGTGAAGGATGAAGTAGGGCTGCCCACTACTGTCTGGGCTGAAGGTGTGTCCTAACACACAGAGGCCCTGGGAGACTGGGAGACTTACTGGTTCTAGACACAGAGGTTTTCGCTCTAAACTAACTGAACAGAGACTGCAGTGTCACCAAAAAAGAACACAGGCTTTACAGATTAGTTCAGTAAAATCACCAGGTCAAAAAACAGCAACAAATGCTGGGGAAAGGGAGAGTCTCACCCCAGAATTGCTACCCTTTATTAACTGAAAATCTACTTTTCAGGTTGGGGCTGGGGCTCAGTGGCAGAGCACTTGCCTAGCATATGTGAGGCACTGGGTTGATCCTAAGCACCACATAAAAACAAATAAAGGCATTTTGTCCATTTAAAAAAAAAAGTCTACTTTTCAATAAAAAAATCATAAAACATACAAAGAAACAAGAAGTTATGGCCTATACATTCGAACAAGTAGTCAATAAAAATTGCCTGAGGCTGGGTGTGGTGGTGTAGGCCTATAATCTCAGTGGCTCAGGAGGCTGAGGCAGGAGGATCCCAAGTTCAAAGCCAGCTTCAGCAACAGCAAGGTGCTAAGCAACTCAGTGAGACCCCGTCTCCAAATAAAATACAAAAAAGGGATGGGAATGTGGCTCAGTGGTCAAGTGCCCTGAGTTCAATCCCCGGCACCCCCCAACCCCCGAAAAAAAAAACCCAAAAGGGCTGGGGATGTGGCTCAAGCCGTAGCGCGCTCGCCTGGCATGCGTGCAGCCCGGGTTCGATCCTCAGCACCACATACCAACAAAGATGTTGTGTCCGCCGAGAACTAAAAAATAAATAAAAATAAAAAAAATTCTCTCTCTCTCTCTCACTCTCTCTTTAAAAAACAAAAAAAAAAACAAACCCAAAAAACAAACTGCCTACAAAAAAAATTATTTTTTTCCAGCACTGGGAATTAAATCAATGGGCTACACTCACTGAACCACTGAACCACCACATCCCCAGTCCCTTTGATTTTTCCTTTTGAGACATGGTCTCACTGGCCTCAAACTTGGGATCCTCCTGTCTCAGCCTCCCAAGTTGCTGGGATACAGGTGTGTACCACTGTGCCCAATGAGAAAAGGATTTTAAGTTAGCTATTTTAATCACTTTCAAAGAATACATCTGGAGAACTAAAGTAAGAGAACTATATCTCACCAATGGAGAATTTCAGTAAAGAAGTAAAAATGATAAAGAAGCATCAAGTTGAAATTCTAAGGTTGAGGGACTCTGGTGAGATGTGAGTAGGGAGAAGCAGGAATCAACAAACCTGGCAACAGGTCAACTGAGATTACAGTGTGAAGAACAGAAAGAAGAATGAATACAAATGAACAGAATGGCAGCCACGTATGAGGCACCACTGAACCACAGTTGGGCTCAGAGGTAGAGCACATGCTTAGCACCAACCTCCAGCCCAGGGGGAAAAAAGTATAACTCACCACAGCTGAGAGCCAAAGGCAGTGGACACTAGTAAAGCTACCCTTTCAAAGTGAAAAGGAGATTCCTGATTCTTGGCCGGCAGTGTGAGGCACTTTGTGGAAGTCTCCCCAGTAAAACACTGGGGAGTCTCTAAAGGCATCTAGCGAGTGAAGAGACATTTACTCCATGACACCTGCTACAACCTGGCAGGCAGTGAGCATGGGGGAGAGCCACACCACCAGGATTTCTTTACCCCAGCACTCCAGGTTGAAGAGATCACATTCCTGCTTAGTGTGGCCAAGAGAGCAGTTGGCTCCTCCACCATGCCCCACAGATGGGGACCCCATTCCAAGTCCAGCAGTAAAGAAAATCAGTGGCTACTGCCCAGCCAGAGTAGCAGTGGCTCTAAGTCTATGCTTGGAGACGGGCAGTGCAGGAGGAAAAGCTCTGCTGCCACCCACTGGGAAGCACACTCCCTGTCCAAGTGTGGGCAGCCAGCCTCAGTGAGCCTCTGCAGGGAAGGGGAAGCTGAGAAGAGCCTTCCAGGGCCAGAGCTAACCCAAGGCCAACCCGAAAACAGCCACAGTTCAACCCACAAACCCACCTGCCTTCTGCGGAAAGAAGGCCGTGCCCTCTCTGAGTTACTCCACGATGTACAGAGCAGCATTTTTCAGGCTGTGCTTTAACCTTTCTCACTTCATTTTGTAAAGCAGTAGTTTGCTGTGAGCTACTACACCATATTGAGTTTAAGGGCTGAGATTCAATGAAGCCATACCTTGTTTGTACACCACCACTATCTGCCTGGCACAACTAAAGGCATGAACTGAAATAAGTTATTCATGCTAATGAAGAATGACCACCCATGAATTTACCAAATTAATCACAAGCATGTAAGGGCGTATCAAACTAACACTGGAAGACCAGGCGCATGAGATTACTGAAAATATTAGATCACCAAATAAAACAAACCCCTCACTTGAGACCCATAAAAGGGGAGGTACCCTGGGACTGGACACAGTGGCACCCTAACCCTGGTCACTAGCCTTGCCCAAGAAAATTGTCATAGCAAAGAACCTTCGGATCTGTTCTTAGGCTTTAGCAGAGTGTGATTTCTTCTGCCTATGATGACCATGGAGTCCCACTCCAAGCTGACATGGTGAAACTGCTGGACCTCGGCCTAGAATAAGCTCCTGCACCCTGAACAAGCTCTTCAGCTGGTTCTGATCTTACCTGACCGCCTGCAGGGACTCCACCTTTGCTCTCAGTTCAGTCTCCCTGACCCCGTGGCTGCCTTGACCCCTTCTTATGTGTGTCACTGTGTGAAGTGTGATGTGCCACAGGTACTAGCAATGAAGATTGGGATAAGAACCTGTGATTGCCTGGCTTATGACCACCAGGTGATCTGCACGTCGCCAGTGAACTGCCCCTGCTGAGTGGTGCAGCTTGTGACTTGACTGTCATTCAGCAATTCCTGACCTTGTGGAGAGACAGGAACGAGTGTGGTCTATGCTGATGACTGCCCGCTCAAGACACTACCAAATCAGAAACCCCTCCGGAACAACAGCTGCCCAACCACCTCCCCCAGACCAGACCAAACCAAATCACCTCACCACTGGTCACATTTATCTGCATTTGACTGCCCAACCACCTGTGCTCTAGGGCATTACAAAAAAGAAACAAAACAAGACAAAACAAAACAAAAAAACCCCAAAGGCAGAAACAGGCAGCCAGGCAGT